TGTCTGATAGCCTCGAGAAGAACGAAACGTTGATGGAATTTTGATCTTTATTGCGGTTAGTTGAAGCTTGTTAAGCACTTAAGGCGCATGCAGGTTGAACTTAACATTTGTAAGTGAGCGGTTGGAGGTACAATTAGAGTTGTAAGACTATACAGAGTTCCTGTTCCCGGCGAAGGCTTTGAAAGCGCGTGCAATCCTTGGCTGAATGTCACAACCAATTTTTCTGAAACCTTGGGTCAGAACTGAAGGAGAGTGGGCGGTGGTGGAACGACTTTGACAAACTTGTTTTGAGCGTTCACTGAAGTCTTACTGCAGCATTGGTTTATAAGATTTGAAACAAGTGGCTCCGGTTGTGTGCTCGGCTTGGAACTCGCCAGAACTCAAAACAGCTCTAATGAACCTGTTTTTGCCTCGGCTGATAGTCCGCACTTTCGGTGATGATACTTGCATTTTTTTTTGTGGACCATGATTGAAGTGTATGTAAATGTAATTGGCAAATTTCCGCAGCTAAGTTGATCGAAGTCTTCTGTGAAATTGAGGCTCAAGATACTGGATGTAGGTGACCACGGCGGAACAGACTTCGAATTTGAGATATACGCTGTGCGTCGAAGTTTGCGGTTGGATTTGTTGCGCAAGAGCGCCCGACTTGTCAAGTAATTTCATTCAAACTCATGGCTAAATGTCTAGACGAATCACATTGAAGGGAAGTTTTTGCTAATTTACACACACGCTTCAAGCAAAGAGTAGACACTGTGACCCACCACAGTGAAATAGTCGTGATAAAAACCATTACAAAGCCACGACAGACAAGGAGTGTAACTTAGATACATCAGTCAGAAAATTCTGCCTACATGAAAAATATTTCCAAGTGAAATGTTACGGATCGACTTCAACGGTGCTCGAAGTAGATTGCCCTTAGTAACAGATTATGATAAAAGAAAATTGATTAGCAAATTTTTCAACGGCTTGAAAATTTCGTAACCAAATTGGAATTGAATTTTCTCTGCGCAATTCAAGATATAAATTGTGGCTTTTTATGTGAACGAGTAAAGGTCACTTTCAACTAATTGAGCGCACCTTGTCAGTGTGGTTTTAGTTCTTGAGATCTGAATTTATCAGCAACCTGGCTGTACCTTTCTAAATAATTTAATAATAATTATTATTTTTTAACTTTTAAGCGGGCTCGCGGTGTCGAATCTATCGCGCTAAATATGTTTTTGTTCATAATTATATTATTGAGTTATGTTATTTGATCTAATGAATGCCTTTTTAATGAATTTAAGCTACTTGTTTTCAGCAATTTGAGTCTAAACAGTATGATTATACAAAAAATGAACGATTATTAGTTAGTTAGTTTTTTAATTTTTTTGAAATATGCCATACAGTGGTCCTTTCGACTACGCGGGACCGCTGTCGTTACAAAAAAAAATTGAAAATTAATATTTTTCACATAGAAATATTATTTTGAAAACTTTAATTCTTTTGCAAAAATTTTTAAAATAAAATAAATTTAGAAAAATACTGCTCAGTACATTTTATTGAAATTTTATCTGATGAACTTTATAAATCAATTAAAATGTTTAAAAAATATTTTTTTTTTCATATTTGCTAAATTAGCACGTGTTTAAATAATCATACCCGCTCATCTTGTTTGCACTCATTGTTTTATGCATGCCAAGCGCATTCTGTTGCAGCTGTGCAACCCCCATGGCGTATGAGTTACTTTACTGGAAACTTGAAAAAGGTGCTTCTCTGCTAATTAGTTGCATATCCGTTAGAAGTTTATGAGAAGTTTTGAATGAAGCTATAAAATAGCTGCAACACATGCGTATATATATATATGTTTATATGTATATATATTTATGTAAGTTTGAGCAGCAAGAGCAGATGTAGTTTATGTGCAGTCACTTAGGGAAACTTTATATAGCAGAAAAAATAAAAAATTAAAAAATATATGAGCGCAAAACTTCAAATAAAAATGTAAATTACTTTGAAAATTATTAGTTAATTAGACGCGAATGTTTTTAATGTAATTTATATATGTATTTATATAAAAATATATGTTAAAATAAACCATTAAAAATCACTCATCTTAAATGTAAGAGGAAATATATTTTCTTCATATAAAATAAATGCATTTTTAGCAGCTCCCACTAATTAGATTTTATTGCAAAAGATTAAGAGAATTCTTTAATCGCTACGGTTAAGCTTATAATATAAACTTCTCTTCATAAAAACTGTAACATTTGGCAATAAACTCTTTAGTATTTTGATAAAACTTGAACTCAGCAAGCACAATGCCTCTTTGTTCACATGGCGCTTACCAACGAAAATATTTTTACCATTTTTGCGCTTCACTCCATAGGCATCCCCTATGCATGTACATATGAGTATGTTCACCATTCAACTTGCAACTGAAATTCATTGCACGAAACTTAAATGCATGTCAGCTACATGCATGCACAAAATGTACAGACAATTATACATTCCACCCTACATATGCGCAGTTGTCTTTTGTTTTCTTTTTTTTTTTTTAGCAGAAATTCACATTCATTTCAGCAACAAAGTTCCCTCGCATTACATGTGAGTGGCGTAAAACAAAGCTATCTATCGAAGCGTATATCTCATTGCTTAGAGTTGACTTTAATAGCAGCAGCAGGTGTTGTCGGCAATCAGTTGCTGCATGAGTACAATATTCGGCTTGCGCGTGTGCACAGATAGACACACGTGTATGCGTGTATGCAAGCACGAAATCCATCTGCTGGAATTTCCTTTGTCCTACACAACTAGTTTATGGCTGATGGTGTTAAGCTCGAGGAGGAAAGTTGCAATTCTGTTTGAAGCGGGTATAATTAAACTTTAATTCTTAAGAATTTTATTTTATATTATTTAATTTTGGTTTGTGTTGTTTTTTTTTAATATAATTTTTTTTTTTTAAATTCCGTTTTGTTTTATGATATTCAATTTTTATTTTCCTATATTATTTTATATAAATCTTAATTGATATAAAAATTTTTGTTTGATTTTAATAATTCTAATTAATTTTTCTTCAACGTCATTTATTTTAATTTAATTTAATTTTAATATACTCTATTTTCCTTTATTTTATAGCATTTTATTCTTATTTTCGTATTTTTTTAAATTTTATATTTAATTTTAGTGCTTTTAATTAAATTTTTTGGAATACTGTGTATTTTAATTTAACTTAATATTTCGATAAATTTTTTGTTCTAACTTTTTACGTGTATTTAATATTTTTTCTTTGTTTAATTTGAATTAATGTGACCTTGTTTTACTTCAGTTGTTTTAATATAACTCAGATTAAAAATTTTTTTATTAACATTCTTAACTCATTTAATATAATTTACCTTAAATTTAATGAATTTCTAAATTATTTTCGCATTATTTTATTCTGTATTATTTTTTTTTGTTTTTTATATGATTGACTATTTATTTTCATTTATAATTTAATGTTTCTTTTAATTATTATATTGTACTAATTTTTAATTAATATAAGTAATTATAATTTCTCAACCTAATTAGTTTTAACTTTATTTTTTTAGTATCTTATTTACCATAATTTTATTTAAATTTACTTACTTCTAAAAATTTATTTATTTATTAATTAATATTCCATTATATATTTTTTCTTTAACTTTTATTTCTTAATAATAATTGAATTTAAGTTAATCTTTATGAAACTGTCTCAGTCAATATAATTTTTTTAGAAATTGAACCAATAATTACAACAACAGTTTTGAAGGTAGAAGGTTTAATTAATAATTAAACTTAATTTATTTCGTTCTTAATAGTTTTACTTTAATTTAATTGGTTTTTTATTTTTTTAATTGCACTTTACTTCTTAGTTTTATTTTATTTCAATTCATTTTTCTACAGTAAATCTTTTTAATTACAATTTTTATTTTATGTAATTATAATTTAGTTTCCACTATTTGGCTTATCTTCTTTTATATAGTTTTCTTAAATTTAAGTTTATTTGACTTTATGACATATTATTTTATATTGTTTCAATTTATTTTATTTGAATTATTTCTTTTATTTCTGTTTTTTTATATTTATATTTTATATTTTATATTTTATATTTTATATTTTATATTTTATATTTTATATTTTATATTTTATATTTTATATTTTATATTTTATATTTTATATTTTTTATTTTATATTTTATATTTTATATTTTATATTTTATATTTTATATTTTATATTTTATATTTTTTATTTTATATTTTATATTTTATGTTTTATATTTTATATTTTATACTTTATATTTTGTATTTTATATTTTATATTTAATATTTAATATTTAATATTTTTATTTCATACCATTTTTTCTCTTTCAAAATTGGTACATAGTTACTGCCAACAGCTGCAGTAAAGCAAACATTGGAAAATAAGCTTTTTTCTTTCTTTCTCTCCCTTTTGTGTAAATTCCAGTTAATCGCTTTTGTTCTTCTGTTTAATTAGACACATCAAACATGACGCTAATGAAAGGAAACTATCTAAACAATGTTAAGTATTTTATATACTTAGTTGCATTGTATTGGAGTAGCAAGTAGTTGAGAGAAAATTGCTCACTATTTTATAAGTTTGATGTTGAAAAGACTTAATGAATTTGATTGAGGAAAAATCTAAAAAAATATTCTGATTAGTTTTTAAAAGTTTAAATGTTAAGGAAAAATTTAATTTTTTACTGTGAATATGTTGACTCTTCATTTTTGGTGATTTGAAATCACAAGTAAAAATTGAGATTTAAAAACCATTAGTTTCTTTTACCAGGTCTTTATTGTCATTTGTCTTTAATTTTTTCCAGTTTCCCATTATTTTTTCACTCTTAAATTAATGGAGGTCTAAAACTGCGGTATGCAAATATGTTACGTATACGCAATGTTGTACATAAGTTGATTCTCCTTTGAAAATATATTTGAAAATATATTCGGAATTTTTTAATAATTGTTTAACAAAATTTTTTTACTCACCTTCTATGCTTATTCCATATGTTGAATACAATAAGTGCTAAGGCTACTAATATACCACAACTTGATATTGCACACATGCAAACAAATAATGGCAGCGATACGGTGCGTAAGACGCGTCGTACAATTGTGCGATCCTGAGGTACCTGAAATGTGAGATGAAGAGATGGAGATGGTTGAACATCGTTTTTATTGATTTAAAAAAAATAAATATATAAATTTCGATTAAAGATTCTCTTGAAGTATATTTAGCTAGACCTAAAGTGGAATGGAAAAAAATGTAATAATAAAAGGTTGCTATCCACTCTGCATTCATATGCCATTAATTTTGCATATTCAACTCAACGCACCACAGTCACATATCTCTTTAGGAGATGGTTAGTCTTTGTAGAATGCGCCTTATCCTATCAAAAGCCAAGACAAACTTGATGAAAATGGTTGCCGTAGAAATGGTACGGATAATATTCCCTGGTATTCGGTATTCTGACGAAACATTGCCTATTAGAAAGGCATTCAAAGAGGATAGCGCTTGAGCTGCAGCAATTTTTTGCACTTTATTTGCGATTGCACTGCACTAAGCATATTTGAAGGGTCGCATTTGTCGTTTGACGGGAGCTAAAGCAGGTACGGAAATTTATCATATAAAAAACTTTCAAAAATTGACGGGTAAGCATTGTCAGAAAACTAAAGATTATTTTGAAAATGGCATTTGAACTTCACTACCACTGGCAGTCGAAGGACACTATACAAATCTCAGCAGGAATGGGTGGAAAATAAATCAAAAAGAGAATACAAATATATCAAAAATTTCGGTAGCCAAATCAATCAATGACTGGCGACTTTTGCCATTAAACGTTTTTCCACAGAAAAGAGCACATAAGGCAATCGAACAAAAAACAAAAAAATTGAAAGAGGGGAAAAAATCCAACCAAAGGAATTGACAGAAATTGGCATTTCGCAAAATTAGCATGCAAAGAATTTACCGAACGACAGCAATTTAACTCTGAAATGCCATGCAGATGTCAAACTACTTACAAACAGTCCCTCCTCGGGGTGGAACATTAAAAGAAATAAAAGTTTGCACATAAAATGCAGCAAAGATGTAGCGAGGAGAAAGTCCCCAAAGGTAACTGAGTTCATGTAATATTTAAATATTTGCAATCAAGCCACCGGTGCCACTCGGGCAATTCTATACAGCACACACAACTTCGTCAGTAATTAAGGCAATTGAACCGTCATTGATGCTGTGAAAGTACTGAACTTGCTGGAAACATACTCGTACATGCGACGAAGGCGGACGGTGGCACGGAAGAAACGATGTTTTGGACTGAAAAGAACTTTATTGTTGCAAATATGTAGTATAAGTAACTAATTGCAATGTATTGATGACGACAGCAAGCTCCAGTGTGACACTTGTGGTGGGAAGATCTTAATGAGTAGAGGTTTTAGGTTTTTCTGTTGTTGTGTGGTAGAGATGTGTGAACGCTGGCAAATAAGTAACAAAATTTCGTTACTGTAAGCAAACGAAATTGATTGGATTTGGAAAATATATAGACATTACATCACATCATATGAGGTCACATCACATCATACAACGTCACAGTTGATAGAATTGCAATGAAACACATCACATTCCCCGCATCATATTACCATACATCCCATTACATCACTACACATCGCATAACAACATGTCAAATCACATTACAACACAAATCATATCACCACATCACGTCAGATCACATGACTTAAAATCAATCACATTGCAACCATAGCATAACATCACGTCTGGTCACATGATATATTAGCACATACCTTCAGAGCACATCACGTGATATCAAAACGCTTAACAGCGTATAGAATCATATCGCAACTCATAAAGTGACATCAAATATCACTACATCACATCGCATCAGATCACATAACTTATCAATGCATTCGTTTTCATCACATACATATCATTGCTTCACAACACAAGCCAACACATTACTTACCCACATATTATATATATAAAGTCACACTACTTTAGATCACGTCATTGGATCACACAACTGCTCTCTTACATCACAACACATCATATCACAACATACCATATCACAACCCATTTCATCACATCACCTTTGGGTTTTCATAGGAAATGTAATAAAAACACATCACATAATATCACATGAAACAAACTCAATCATAACAACAATTTATTACAGTAACAGCATGTGAATGTACAATTGCAAAGTGGATAACAAGCGAAAGTAATTATTATGGGTTTGGAAAATTTTATAACATTCAAGCTACAGGCTAGGAATGAGAGGATTGTGAGAAAAGGTTTTTTGGGATGTATTAGAAATTTCTAGTAAACTACTACCTAAAAGAGTGACCTACCGCAACGCGGAGACGACAAAATGACTAACTGATTATTACTAACATCGATAAAACAAGAAAAATTAGGCAGGCCAGCGATATTGAGACTATTAAGCACATCCACTGTTGCTGTCCGGCATAACCAAGAGGATGACCCAGTCATTAAGAGGCTTTACAGTTCAAAGAAGAAGTCTAACAGCTTGACAACATAGTGATTCACAAAAATGGTAGAAATCACAGCAATTAAAATTTCATCGAATACTAGAAAGTATTAACGGGCGCTGCATAAGACAGACTGTGCAGACATCCAATGAAACCTAATTGGTTTGCAATGAGTTTCAGAGTACTCAAGTATTTCATTATTTTTTAAATTTTTTTTTAATAAATTAATAATTTATTTTTGACAAATAAGACGACTTAGAAAGCGGCAAAATATTTTTTAATAATTTTTTTTTTATTTTTTATACCTTTTTAATATTTTTTCTATTCCTTAATATTTTTTAAATTTTTTCAATAAAACTATCTATTTTACCGAAATATTAGCCTCCTTTTTCTCCCCACTATTTTTGTGCAATTTATTAAACATTTCACATTATCTCGAACTAAAACAAAAGGCAATTAAAATTCACTCACACAAAAAGTTACGTATACGCCCTGTAACACTGCCAGCCAATGGCATCCAATGAAGTGTACGAGCACGGTTATACCGTCACCGTAAACCAATTTGCACCGCTGTGCAACGTAAATATATCATTCACACTCTGCTGCACTCTAAAAGCCATGCCCACAATCGAAGCGTAATTAATGCAAAAAAGCGAAGGAAAAAATTGGTGGAAAATACAAAAAAAAAATGAAAAATTAAAATAAAAAGATTACAAATTATATCTATATAAGGACCAAAATTTTGGTTTATGAGAAAATGCTTGAATTTGGTTTACAAATTGTTTAAAAGCCAAAGCAAATGATATGCGATTTCAAATCACTAACTGCTATAACGCATACTCTGTATATTTGTGGGTTTATGCAATTGTAAGAGTGTAATCAATTTTCACTTAGCATACCCGAGAATGACTTTCAGACACACTCATACTCAGTGAACTGTCTAACCACCAAATAGGGGAAGATTTTAAAAGTTTTAGACAATTCTGGCTATTGAAATAAATAAAAAGGATATGCCAGGGGTATGAGTTCAGGTTAAATATATAACACACGAAAATTGTGTCACTCGTATATAAATGTTGAGCGGCAGCAGCGCTCGCCCTGCCAAGGCTCAGCTAAAAATTCAATTCAAAAGCATACTGACGCTTACTAAAGTGCACTTTTCAGTGCCATTTGCCTTAGAAAATCAAATAATCCAGCAATTTCAACTACTCTGCTTTGCTCACACTTACTCTCATACTCACACAAGCATACGCTCTGCTCTGCTCATACTCAGCTAGTACTTGCTCGCCCTCTCTGCTGCCACGTGATTGATTTTTTTTGTGATTTACCTATTTTCGATATCCGTTTTTTATCTTTCCGGCGTCCATTTCGATTTACATATATACCTATTCGCCGCTAAAATTTTTTAGTTGTTGCTATTGTAGGCGTTTGAATTTTTCTGGCAAAAAAAGCGATGATTTATGCTCAAGCACTTCCGTCAGCAAATCAACAGCAGCAGCGGTGATGTTAGTAAAAAGGACTTTATACCAAAAAGGCTCTCTTGGCTTGGCAGCGCCAGACATTTACACACATATGTACATACGTATAGGTGAGCTGGAATTTACTGTGCATTTCTTTCATGCTTTACGTCTCTCTCTCTTTCAGCTCTTCACTAGTGGTAAAGTGATATTCATTTTATCACCTGTTCAAGTTCAAATGGGCGTGCATTAAGTGCTGAGTGAGAACTGAATATGCCGAGTCTTCAAGGCTTATAATTGTACGTGCGTGTGTAGCAGTGTGGGTGTCGTGTGTGCACTGGCCGTTGACTGGCTTTTTGTGTGGCAGCGCATTGAAATGAACGCTTATTTGAATACTTTTCTTTAAATATGCAAGCATATGCGAGTCAAGGACGACTGAGCACTTACTCACTTTTACTCAATACTAACAGGAAGTGCCTGTTTGTGTGAGTGTTGGTTATCAAAGGAATAATTGTGGATTTGCATTTGGTTGGTTAGTGCGCGTGGAGTTGTTGAGGTCAAGGAGAGAGAAAGAGAGAGATAAAGAGAGCAGAGAGCAGGAAGAAGATAGGTGGACGAAGTAATGACTTGAGTAAAGGAGAAAAAAAATTCTTGAAGCAAGGTAAAGTTCAAAGCTCAAACCCAATTGCTATTTTTTTTGTCTTAAGGAGAGTAGATAATATCCATTTCATGAGTTATTGTACACGAAATGAAGCAATTATTTTATAAAAAGTCCAAGAGTTAGTTTGGTTTGGGGTGGAATCTATTTGAGCTGGAACTCATCTTCTCCTCCTCTCCTTGAATCCGCTCTTGACCTTCATGGCAACTTTTGTTCTATACACTAGAGTAATCTGCAGAATTTTGACTGCCTTTTAGGGAACACGAGCTGCTTTTTCTCTAGTTTTACCGATAACGGGCCATTTGTAAGGATAGGACCTAGTCTCTGAATCCAGCAAGTGACCTCAGGAATCTTTATATCGAACACCGGTTTTTGATGCATGAGATTGAGAGCTATCTTGAACGATCAGCTACTGTTTCTAGAACGACGAGCTTGAGGTGTCTCTTCAGTTAAGCCGGTTCTTTCAAGCCTGTATGAGCTTAGAAGAATTCCACGAGGCAGCTCGAGAGCCTCATCCGCTTAAATTCCCTGGATGGACTCCAGTACTATCATTCACCGGCAAAAGGCTGATAAGTGTGTTGACTGGTTCTTTGTGAACAGCCTTTAAATACTATTAATTGTAGGTTAGCGTATCTAAAATATATTACTGAATGGTGTACGTATAGTTGAATGCTTCTTTGTTGAAGTACCGTCTGGACGAGCTACTTGAAGTTCACAGTGGCATCCAAACCGTCACCCTCAACACTCGGTTCCAGGCATCGGAGCTATATTGGAATTTATACAGTCAGAGCTGTAACTTTTCGGCGCCCTGGCTACGCTTAATCGAGTAGAATGCATTCAAAAAATATTATATTTGTACCTTCTACTTATTATTACCTTCTACTACATTTTTTTTTTGGAAAAAAATATTTATCTAATTTTGAGTAAACCTTATATCTGAAGTTTTCACACTCACCTTTCCCCCACTCCATTGCTCCATATTTAACCATGTTAAATTATCCAATTGCGTATCATAATAACCTAATTTTTCATATTTTCCATTCACCATCTGTTCGATTTGTGTTAAGGCAATACGATCACCTTGTGAACTGAAGGCAACGACACCCTGGAAAGAGTAGAGCAAAAAATAAAAAAAAAAAAAATAATCGGTATATTAAAAAATATATATATTAATAAATGTTAAAAAATTCTTAAAAACAAATTTTTCAAAAAAAATTTCACACGCAGTTTTGTTTAATTTTGATTTAATATTTTTGCACGCATAAATTTGAAACAACTCATTTTCCAACAACGCAACTATGTTTATTCTCTTTTAACAATTTTTTTTTTTTAAAGAGATAGGTAAAGTGTATTTTAAAAAACCAAATATGTATATATTCTTCACCTAGTTAAGTGCACGTAAATCAGTTGTGCAAGCAAGCTCGCCTAAAAGCATGCTATAAATTTCACCACGAAGGAATATGCTTTATGTGCGCCACGTGCTGAAGTGTTTGCACACATTTACATAGTATGAGTAACACTTCATACGCCAAGCAAAGAGCCATTTATTATTTTATTTCATTTTATACACTTTTTTTGCAGTTTCAATTCTTTCTTTTTTATTGAATTAAAAATTTTTTTTTTATTATTATTATTTTTTACTTCTACTTGACATTTTTATTTATTTTTTATTTTTTTTTTTTACAAAGAAGTTTTCAGTTGCGAAAATGCATTGCAGTCATTATTACTTTATTTTTTTTTTAAGTTACTTTCTGTTTGAGTATTCTGCACCCTCTCTTTATAGTTTTTCCTTATACCGCTGGCATTTCCCATGCATATCTTTTATTAGCGCAAATACTGTTAGTCAACCACTTGTGGTATGAGTGTAAGTATAATAGTGTGTATAACATGAGTAAGTTGGTTGGGGGTTGGCGGGCTAAACTCGGTAAAAAAATAGTACACATATAATTAATGGTCGATTTATTTTTTTTTTTTTTTTAGTTTGCAGCAGTGTATTTTTAGGTGTGGAACACTCTCATGTGGAAGCGCAAACATTTGCATATTTTAGTTTAAAAGAAATTCTATGAATAAATAATAACAGATGGCACAATAGTTAGTTTGCTAGAGGGTGTTGATCCAGAAATTCCAATTCCCACTTGGGTTGTTTGGTACACGGTTGGTTGGGCGGCTGAATGTACAGATGAAGAGACACATTCACTGCATTTCGGCATATACGAGATTTTATCATTACGGTATGTATGCAAGGGTTGTTGCAGGGTGATTAGGCTCAATGGTATCACATGCATTCAGTGTCTCATAATTGGTATAAATACGAGGTTTCATGGCTAGAGCTATCCGCAATCAAGCAACATTATCGATAGTGCAAAGTGAGACCTGAAAAAAATGAAATACCGCAAAACAATAAAGATCCTTAGCAAGCCATCAATATTAGTTGCGATCATAAAGGAGGAGTTGTCATTAGTTTCAGCGACTCTTGTACGGAAAAACTGGCTAATTAAACAAATAAGGGAACCCTCACCCAAGACGGGACAGAAGCAACCGTACTTATACAAAAAGTTGAAACAAAAATGTTCTCGGCGAGTAGTTGGAGTTTACGACACAATCATCATAACATAACTAATATCAGCGCAAGATCGGTGCCGCGTATGCTCACGCTTCCGAAACAGCACAGTGTTCGCGTGCATCTTCAGATCACTGTAATGAAGTAAAGGCTGGTGTATTGAGCCGAATCGAAACAGAGTCGAAAAAGGGGACGGTAAGGGAAACAAGGACCGAGTGACTACATAATAACTTTCTCCAAAAATGAAAAAATGAGCTGAGATGTAAAAAATTTATCACCGTTGAGGAAGCCATGGAGCCAATTTGGGTGTATTTTGAAGTTAAAGACAACACATTTTTAATGAAAGCATAAATAAATTGATTGAAAAATCTGAAAAATGTAACTATTTTGAAGGTAAATATCTTGGAAAGGAAACATAATTTACAGTTTTGTATTTCCAACACTTATACGCCATTCGGCGAACGTAAAAAACTGCACTCGTTTAAATTTCTTATGAAAAAGTTAATAAAAAAAATTATTTTTAAAAAATATCTAAATAGAAAAAAGTTTTAAATTCCTCCGCTTCATATTTCGACAAGCATTATATACCAACAACAACAATAACGCCAAAAACACGCTACTAAGCAACCAATGGTAGGTGTTAACTATGGCTACGGCCTGGTGATAACTGCAGAATTCGGTGTCAGCATAAATTGTCAGCCATGAAAGGGGAGAGACCACTTCCTACATAACCACAACAAATTGACAGTCTAGCGCTCGTTTTGCGCACCGACAATTGCTGGTGTAAGTGTGCTCTCGCTGCGGAGGATGAGTCAACTCAGTGCTGAACTGCAGATACATTTTTGAGAATTTTTTTGCTACACAACAGTTGGGTGGCATTTACTCCGGCCTGCGGTCTTGCCTTGCCGCCTGCAAGGCACTGTATGAAAAAAGTCATCAGACTCCTCTGTGTGTGGTGCCTACGCATTGCTGACTGGTGACTAGTGACTGTTGTCTACCAACTGCGAGTTGCTGGTTTCCCACAGTTTGCACCCTGCTGCTGAAGTTGCTATGCAGATGTGTACAGAAAGCAGCCGCTACATAATTACTCACACTTATATGTACACATGTGTGTTTTCTGCTTTTTATCACACTCGTCGCCTTTGGGCTGCTTAAAATATCTGCAGTACAGTTTTTTTTTTGTTTTTTGCGAAAAAATAGTGCCGCCTTGTTGCATTGCTTCTTTGCTCACACAGCTGCGTATTGCAGCTTTTACTTTACTGTTAGCTTTTGTCTACTGCATTGGCTCGTTTGAGTGAGGCTAAATGAAAAATAGCTGTGAAAATTGTGATTTTTTTTTGGTGGGAATTTGTGATATGAAATCATAAGGTTTCTCATACGAATAGAGCAGGCATTTGGAGGGTCCTGATACTGTAAGTCCTTGCCATTGCACTTACTGTAGCCTGCAGCCGGTTAAAGGAACCGTGCGATAGAGATTTGCTTTGTTCGAGGTCTCCCTTGACAGCAGAAAAGGCTTGAAGAGGCCATCTTCCGTTGGGAGAATGGACATACTCTGAACCAAAGTTACGTAGCCAACTGCGGGGATGCTGCTAAACTCTATCGAACGACGGGCTGTGCAGGCCACTCACACCCGCTCTCAACGAATTTTAATTTGTGCCTACCAGACTTCAGCTGGGTCTACCAAGCAGAAATTATTACAGTTACCGAAGCCGCAGAATGATTACTAGGATCTCTATATCAATTAGTTATCAATCAGTATGCACTCAAATAGCAAAGCAGTCATCAGAACTCTTCTGAGTAATTACATCGCATCTAAGGGGGCATTGAAACCTAGAGGCACTTAAGACAAACTCTCAGCTAAATGCACGCAGCTGTGGTCTAGGTGCCCGGGATGTCCCAACATCAACAGGCAGCTGTGTAGTGTATGAGCTAACAAGATGAGGTAATACTCTAAATACAATACATTCTATAAATAACGTGGTTTTCTACGGCAAAACTCACGCCAAAGCTGGATTTCACCAAAACAGTCAACACCAGATGGCTAAGTGAAAGAACCTGTAACATGGGTAAGCAGCTTTGCACACTAAAAGACAAGAAATCTAATCTTACGTTAAAACAACAACTGGTTTACCAGCTGAACACGCTTTAATGGCACTTCACGGTACTTTCCGAATCATTTTTGTCGCAGCTGTAGAGCTGAAAAGAAGAAGAGTCCGTTGCGGCTTCTTACTCTATCACTGTCCTAATCACTAAACGAAATAAATACCTGGATTATCAATTCTTTGTTTGCCTGGCTGACTTAGAAATGGCTGATGTGGACCGTTTATAAGGCATCGGAAATCTAAGAAGATGAGAAGCGCACTACGCGATATCACAATGAGTCTTCAAGTCTAAGCTCACTGGTCGCTCCGATTAGCAGCCGCATCAGCTCAATTCAACTCAACTGCTCTTTTGTTATAATAGAATTTCTGTCTAATTTTCATCTAGTGACTAAAACCGCGGAGATTTTTTCAGTTACAAAAAGAGGTGTTTTCAGACTGATTCAGCCTTTTCGGAGTTGTTGTGCGTTGGAATTGTGATTGAGAATTCTTCAAGCTTTTCGATGATTAATTTAAATCTACCTTATCCAAATTAGGCTGTTCCGACCCAATCTAAGTCAATCTGAGCTAATATTATTTTAATCTTATCTAACCTAATATTGTTTGATCTAACCCTATCGTACCTAACCTAACCTAACTTTACCAAATCTAATTTAACATAACCTGACTTGATCTGAAATTACGTCTCCCAGTTTAACTATCTTTTTTTCAAGCATGATCTCAGGTAACAAGAATGAGAATCAAGCTAAAATTTAGGATTTAAAAGGGACCTCATACCTAGTGGTTTTAAGGGCTGACGAGTTGACTGTGGTCTGAGTGGATCAAAGGATCGATTAGGCTACGAAAAACTCAATCCATGGATAGTCCTTTCGATGGATTTTTCGCTGATAATGTCGAGCCGATATGGCTGTTCCTGACTAAAATCGACTTCATTATTCTTTATATAAAAAGAGAATAAAACTTGAGCTAAATGGAAATTTCCATCATTTCCCCTCTCTCACAGACAGTTCTTACTTGCTCTTATTCAATTAGAATACTTTATTAATCGCCTTAGGTGAGAAACAATAAAAAATTTACTCGCTTTTGTTACTTTGTTTGCATTTTCATCGTCGCTTTCTCTTCTACCGCCAGCTGTTTCTCTCTTAATTCAATTGTACTGGCTTTCTTTATTTTTCTCATGCGCTTTTATTTCCCTTCTTTGTTATTTATGTATGCGATTTCTTCAACTTTTATGGGTTTCTAATCGTATTTTACCCTTTACCGTTGTACAACTGTAATGTGTTGATTATTTGCATCGTTTCTTATGATACTTTTTCTTGTGCTAGTCAAATGGCTTTAAATATTTTTTTAAGTTCATTTTTACTAAAACTTATTTCAGTATTGGCTGCAGAATGGAAATCTCTTTTTTTCAAAAACGATTAATAAAAGATACAATTTTTTTCAGAA